GTTTCATTGCGTAAGCAGGAGAGCCCAGGTTGACAGCCAGGCAGCCTGACTCCGGATTGGCTGCTAGCACCGTGCCAGGGGACCCCTGCACTTATGGAGAGGAGCCCCGCAGAGCAGAGGTGCTCACTAGACATTTGCCAGTGAACAAGGGGAAGGAGACTCGGAGAAGGAATGAGGAGTGCATTCTGGGCTGAGTTCACCAATTTCTGGACGATGAAGGACAGCATTTGCCACCCAATCTCGAGGGAGCCACAGACACACCTTTTAAGGGCTGGCAGCATCAGTTGCATTCATCATCTTCTTCCCAAGCCTATGGGGTAGGTACTAATACCAGCCCCATTTTATAGATAAAAATACAGAGGCCTCCAGATAGTAAATGTAAACTAAAGAAACGGAGAAAAGGGGCAGTGGTAGATTTGGAGGACCTTGCAGAGCCAAATCCTGTAATGTTTGTCCCTTTGGTCTCCCTGGATTCACAAGCCCCGTGGAGGGCGGAGGTCAGAGACTCATAGCAGGGCCCAGCTGCGGAGTAGAAGGTTCCACCAGATGGTGGGCCTTCCAGCCACCTCAGGAGAGGCTTGGGCAGAAAGGAGAGTACAGACCTGACAGCTGCTCTGGGAGGGGCACTGCCCAGTTGGAACAGGCACAAGAGCTGCCTTCTGGAGGCACCCTGCCGGATGACAGAAAGGAGGGGATCTGCTGGGCAGGTGGTACGGGGACAAGGGGGCCCTCTGATTCAGCATTTCAACAGCATTGTGACTACCAGAGGGCTTGCCCAAATATCAGCCCTGGCCTTGATGTCTTCCCAGCTAGTTTCTCTCTTCTGCTCCTGAGTCAGGGGCTTTGATCCCCATTCTAAAGTCGAGTCTCTTGACAGCCTGCTCCTACAGCTGCTACTGGTTGGTCAGAGTTCAGATAAGGAAGGATCTGAGAGTCTATGGGTATAGGACAGCCGTGGGCAAACTATACCCATGTGGGATCCCGCCCGTTTGAAATGAATAAAACTAAAAAAAAAAAGACCGTACCCTTTTATGTAATGATGTTTACTTTGAATTTATATTAGTTCACACAAACACTCCATCCATGCTTTTGTTCCAGCCCTCCGGTCCAGTTTAAGAACCCATTGTGGCCCTCGAGTCAAAAAGTTTGCCCACCCCTGGTCTAAGGAGAAGGAGGCCTGTCGAGCCTCCAGGTAATGTGCACTGAGCACCCACTGTGTGCCAGGCTCCGTGGTGGACGTGGTGTATAATAGTGAGCACATTAGAGTCCGGTAAATACACAAAACAAATAGTGGCAGGACAAAGGTGTCGGAAGCCTACAGGGGCAGCTTCCCCCACTGAGCAGTTTTGCCTCCTTGTGTAACCCAGAGGCTCCTGAGGAAGCAGGCCTGGCCTATGACACGGGTCAGTGCTCGGGCAAGTGCCTGTCCTGCCTGGTTTCCCAGCAGGCATTTCTGCTGTTGCTCCTGACTCCCAACCCCATGGGCGGCTCCTTGGGCACCCCAGCCCAGGGCAGGGGCGTTGGGGCTTCCTGGAGCAGGGTGTGGAGCCAGGAGTGGAACAGAGGAGCCATTGAACTGCCCACAAAGCTGCCACCTGGGCGCCCACGGGCACCAAGGGCTGGCGCTAGGGAGGCCCACGCAGCCTGGGAGGGGTCGTGGCTCTAGGCACCGGCCCAGGACTCCAGTGGGAAGGGTGCTGAGTGCAGCTGTGACCCAGCTTGGCGAGGGAAGGGCTGGGGGGCTCTGTGGAGTTGGGGGCCACCGGTGCGTGGTTCTGGGTGCTTCTGCTCACTGAGCAGCTTCCAGGGCCTCAATCCCCTGACCTGGTCCTCCACCCCACCCGGATTCATGCTTCCTCCCTCTTGTGAATGAACAAGAAAATGCGCTTCCTTTGTCCATTCTTCCTGTTTTATGTGAACTGATTCAACAAAGATTTACTGAGCACTTTTGGGCACTGGGAATTTAACAGTAAACATTCTTGCCCTCAGGAAGCTCCCAGTCTGCAGGAAGACAGATAATAAAGCAGACATTCACTACACACAGGATGACAGCCCAGCTCAGAGGCACTAACCTGCCCTGGGGGGAGAATGGAAAGGCTTTCTGAAGGAAGAAAAGAATCTGATTCAGGCTTAGGGAAAGCTTTTGAGGTGAGAAAAAAAGCATTGAGCTTTCAGGCAACAATGTGATCTGAGATGGGTAAAGAGAAACCAAAGAGGAAAGTGGAATCTTAAATCCATCTGTAGCTATGGACTTTTTATTGTAGCTGCTGGAGAGCCCTTCAAGGTTTAAGGATAGCGTGTCCGTTGATTCAGTTACTGTTGAGTTGCTGCCATGTGTGAGTTGTGAGTCTGGGTGCCAGCTGGGCTGGGTACCCAACAGGCTGGCTCCAGAGCCCCCTTGGTCAAGTGGGTGGGGCCACTTGGGGGGGTGCCAGCTGGCCTGGGAGGAAGCAGTTAGGGGGAGGAGGGGTAAGTGGATTTATTTTCTTTACTTCTTGGAGGAAGGAGGATGAGGTGTGGTGGGCTCTGAGGGAGGTAGGAGGTGATCTAATAGAAACATTTTTCTAATAGAAACATTACTCTAGTGCCTACTGTGAGCTGGGTACTTACTGGAGCCAGAGAGACAATAATGACAAAGAGCTCCAGGCTAGTGGCTGATCTGGTGGTGGGTTAGGAAGATCTGAGATGATAGAATTCTCGGAAGCAGGCAGAGATCTGAGGGCAGAAAGGGGCTGGGCAGCTTGACTAGGACAAAACGGAATAAGGTGGGAGCTGAAGAGCTGAAGGGTGAGATGGCAAGAGCCTTTGGGACATGTTTTGGAGACCTTTGGAGGGGTTTTCAGCAGCCCAAAAAACATGAAGAAGGGGTCTCTGAGGTGGGAAGCTTCCTTTTTTTTTTTTTCCATCTGTGCCTTACTAAGGGTCCCAGATCCGCTAACCCAGGGCAGGGAGGCCACCCTTACAGCTTCCCTGCTCAATTGGCTCCCACAGTCCTGATCTGTGGGATCTTGGTCCAGAACGAAAGCCTAGTCCAGGAATGGGGGAGAGGCAGGAGTGGCCCCTCCCCATGCTGCTGGCCCCAGAGTCACCTCTCGTTAATGCAATGCTCCCTGAGGGGCTGGGTGGCTGGGATCTGTCTCTGCCACAGCCAGTCCTCCCCTCCCTGCCCCCTAGGAGCCGGTGCCCAGCTTGGAGAAAGGCTCTATTGTCCTCCGTTGTGCCCCACCCTGAGCACCTTGAGCTCCTCTGCAGGGTGTGCGGCTTGTGGTTCCCTCTGCCTTGACTGGGAGCAGAGATGGGGGAGGGGGCATGAGCCGCTTGTGTGGGAAAATGCATGGGCTGTGTAGGGCCAAGCCAGGCCTTTCCTGTCCCTGTTCTCCACGAGCCCAGGGGATTTCAGCAGAGCCCCAATCCTGGCTTTCCTCATGGCTGTTCTAAGGTTGTCTTTCTCCTGGGACAGCCAAGGTGCCCACCGTGGCAGGTTGGTAGCATGATTTTGTACAAAGGATGCAGGTTCCAATCCTGGTTCCTCCACTTCCTTGGAATGGTCTTGGGCATGGTGTTCCCTACCTGCGTTGAGCCTCCATTTCCTTAAACCGGGATAATGATACCCACATGATGATTATGATGGATGTCCTGCAGCTAAACCAGCAGAACTGTGGCATAGAATACTCAGTCTTTCTGTTCTTGATGGTCAGCAAATAATATTTGTTCAGCATCTGGTAACACACTGGTAGGCATGGACCAAGCTAATTTCCAATGCCTCCTGTGCCCTGTCTACTCTTTGAACTCCATTGTAACCAGTTCTCTGAATTAATTCCCTCTGTGGAACCACGTGGTGTAAGCTCTTGGGCTGCCTGGACCCTGACTGAGGCAGGCTTTAAGGCCCAGAGTCTCATCCTAGCTATTTAGCCTAGGGGTTGGCCCAGAGGCACAAAATCAACAGAAAAGAAAGGACCATTTTGGGGGCAGCCTAGTGGGAGACCCCTGCAACGGAAGAGCCTGTCCAGGACTCTTGCTCCTGTGGATAGAGCATCTGGGGAGCAGAGCTGTCTCTCAGATGTCTGACGCCTGCTCTCTTCCCACAGTTGGCAATCCTAGAAGACTATGCGGACCCGTTTGATGTCCAGGAGACTGGTGATGGCCTAGTAGGAGCTTCAGGAGCCCCAGAGAAGGTCCCGGAAAACGATGGCTACATGGAGCCCTATGAGGCCCAAAAGATGATGGCCGGTGAGTGATAGAGTAAGGGAGAGTGTTGGGGGAAGTTGTTCCCTGAGGCTTGGGTATCTGCAAAACAAGCTTTGGGACCCACACGTCTTAAGAACTGATTACTTGGTCTCTAGAAAATATGGAGAATGCCTTTGCTGGGTCCTTGGGGAAGGTGACCACTACCTTCAAGATAGTCACTTTGGAGAAGGAGCTGTGATTTGTGGTACCTGAGACTGAGGTGATAGAGAAGCCACACAACCAAAGGTCAGACAGATGGAAGCATTTGGGATTGTGAGGAAGGGCAAGATAGTGGTGTGGGCTGGGGGTCATTGGTCCCTAAAAGAGAATCACTAGCTTTAGAGAAGGTGGTAAGTTTGAAACGATGTTATGACAATTGGAAACGCATGACTATAAATGCCCATGATGCTGGGCAAGTAGTTGAAGGAGTGAGGGCAGGAAGAAATGGATGAGCCTGGGTCTGGGGAGCAGAGACCAAGAAAGAGCCCAGGGAAAGACCAAATCGGGGCAAGCAGACAGGAGGACAGGCCAAGGTCCCAAGGCAGGATGAAAGGAAGATATGTTTACAGGAGAGGCAAGATGAGAGAGGCCAAGAGGGGCATTGATAGGCCTTAAAGGCTGGAATGAGGCATTTGGACTTGCTCCAAAAGGGGAAGGGGAGCCATTATGGATTCTTGAGCAAGAAAGCAACAGGACAAATAAGGCATTTTAAGGGGATTACAGAGGCTTTGGTGTACAGAACAGACCAGAAGAACTGGGCATCAATCAGAAAGATGAGTTAGGCTGTTGTGGAAATTACTGAGGCTTTACAGAACCAATAATTAACACCCTTTTCTTCCCCTCTGGAGCTTGGAAATAATTGAGAAATAAGATCAAGGAAACAAAAAATGGAGATAACAATGTCAGTTTTCTTACTGATAAAGGTGATTGGAGAACATTACTTAGCTATGACACTACAATGGGCTTCTTAATACTTCCCCACAGAATGAAACTTGCCCACTCAGGCTTGGGCAACATAGCATGACTTTAGGCCCTTGCACAGGGGCAAGAGGAAAAAGAACCAGAATGTTCTCTCTGTGTAAAAAAGCAGATCAGATAAACTGCTCGCCCTCCTTGAAAGAGGTGGGAGACGGGCAGAGGGCAGTCAGGGGTGTTATTCCATGGAGCCAATGAGACAAAAGCCTGAAGAATGGAGGTTCGCCCTAGTAGTAATCTAGATGTGGAGAGATGAGGGTGAGACTCCTCAGGCATTGGCAATGACAGATGGGACTCAGACAGTGAAGGAGGGCCAGGACCACGGAGAGCAGTATAGTAGAGGAAATGGAGACAGTGCGAGGGTGGCTACCGTATTTAGATCAGAGGGGTGTGGCCCCCTAGGACAGCAGTCGCCAACCTTTGGACCTCACGGACCACCAGTGGTCTGCAGACCACCGGTTGGCGACCGCTGCCCTAGGAGGCCCATGAGTGCCCTGGGATTGATGAGAAAATCTGCACATAGGGGGAGCTCCATAGCTTTTATCAGTTTCACTGGGGTCAGAGATCTCAAAAAGAAAATCACAGAACAGACTAGAAGAACATTCGGGGAGAGTGGTGAGTTTGAAACATCGACTGAAACATCTTTATGGCAACTAGAAACATAGATGCAAAGAGTTCGACTGGGCAAGTAGTGCAAGGATGAGGCCTGGGAGAAATGAATGAGACTTGGCCTTGGAAACAGAAACCAAGAGAGGATCCAGTAAAAGAGATCAAATGGGAGGACAGTCCATGAAGGGGACAGATTCAAGGATGGGGTTGTCAGCAGTGTCTGACCACCCCAATATGGCAACAAAGGATTGTCATATTGTGAATGGTATCACTTGGGACACAAGGAAATAAATGGAGTTGGGTAGCAAGGAAATGGACTAGGAGAGGACCCTGACTTGGTTTCCTAAATGTGTAAGCCTCAGCTCCCCAGCCCTTGCTGGCCATCGCAGGATCCTTTTTCTGTCTTTCATTCGGGTGCTGCTGCCCCTGCCTCTGTTGGGTCCCATGCTTTTGGAACCCCGGAGGTGTTTTGAGGGAGAGGGACCCTGTATGTGTGCCCCCAGAGCCACCGGCATCTGTGAAGGAAGCCTGCCTGGTTGCTGGGAGCACTGCTGGGAGGCTGGGCCAGGCAGCCAGGCCCTCACGCCTCCCTCCCGCTTGCCCTGGTAGAGATCCGGGGCTCCAAGGAGATGGCCCCTCAGCCCCTGCCTCTGTATGACACACCCTATGAGCCGGAAGAGGAGGGGGCCACCCCTGAGGGTGAGGGGGCCCCTTGGCCCCGGGAGTCCCGCCTGCCTGAGGATGACGAGAGGCCGCCCGAGGAGTATGACCAGCCCTGGGAGTGGAAGAAGGAGCGGATTTCTAAAGCCTTTGCTGGTGAGTCCTGGGCGAAGAGGGCAGGTTTGCTGGGGCCTCTGGGCAGCTTTCTGGGCTCGTGGGAGTGAAGGAGAGGCATCCTGGGAGGGGAGGCCCAGGAGGGAAGTGTAGTTGAGTCTTCACCACGGAGCTGTGAGTTGGCAGGTGGACAAGGCGCGGTGTGCAGAGTCAGGGTGTGGGCACAAGAGGAGGATGAAGGCGTCTCCCTGCATCACCACCTCCGACGCCCAGAGGCTGGGGCCACTTCCATCTTTTGGGGGACTGTGTATATTTAAAAATAAAGAAGTTCCAAACAAAATTATAAAACTTGTGGCATATGTTAAATACTTAACCAAAGAGGGCATTAACCCTCCAAACAATGCAAACAGCTGCCTCTGTAACCATTAGAGATACCAACCCTGAGTTAGCGGCTGTGTCTCCCAGTGGTAGGCCATGCGGACCAGGGGTGCCTACCCCCCGAGGGGTTTCTGAGAAATCCCCGTCACTGAGTGAGGGTAGGTTTCTTCTGTACCGAGCACCCCAGTGGCCCTCCCAGGCCTGGAGTCCGACATGGAGAGGTGTGTATGGGTCGTTTGAGTTGGGGGTAGGTGGCACAAGAGCTTTCACCCCTGGATCCTTGATTCAGTGAGGACATAGAGGACTTAAATGCCATTAGACTCCCTTTCCGTTCCCATGTCCCTCCTACTCCTCCTTGGGCAAGAGGCTCATCTTGGAGCTGGATCCAGGTCTTTGCTCTGTGGGGAGGCCCACCCTGGCAGCCAGACCGAGAAACCACAAGGTGTCTCATTTGTTTCCTGTAAAGCGCGCACCACTGAGGATGGGCCGCTTATCTCCAGAAGTCTCCTTGGAGGATCAATACTGTTTGGCTTGCTTAATGGGAAAATCTATGCTTGTCATTAGGAAACCTTGTTAGCAGTCCTGGCGCCGCCCGTGGCATCACTCTTCTCATTGTCAGGGCTTGGGATTTAGGGTGTGGGGGGCAAGTTTCACTAAAACATCTGCCCCCACATCTGAGTATCCCTGACAACCCGGGTGGGGTTGTCTCAGCGAGGCGATGGGGACAGGAGGGAGGGAGGAGGCTGAGGGAACCTGAGGGTGGTGCTAGGAGACGTGGGCAGCTCCTTATCCCTCTTTTCCTCCTTTCCTGGCCCCTCTGGTTCCTGGAAGCTTGTGAGGTAAATGAAGGGGATCCACAGGGCTGACAGCAAGACCCTGCTTTTGCCACCTGAGCCTCCGACCTTTGACCCTGCCCACCCAAGGTGGTCAGTATGGCTCCACCCGGCCCTCTGAGAGTCCTGCTCCCCATTCAGAAGCCGCCCTGCCTCCACTCTGACCCTCCTCTCTAGGCTGTCCTGTGTCCTGGCTCTGGGTTTTGGTGTCTCAACCTCTGCCTCTCTCTGTCTGTCTCTGTCGCTGTCCCTGCCTGTCTCTCTCCTCCCTGCTGTGCTACTGGTTCCAGTTGACATTAAGGTCATCAAAGATCTACCTTGGCCTCCACCGGTGGGACAGCTGGACAGCAGCCCCTCCCTGCCCGACGGGGACAGGGACATCTCCGGTCCAGCCTCACCCCTCCCCGAGCCCAGCCTGGAGGATGGCAGCGGTGGGTCCTGTCGGGGCTTCTGGCCAGGGTGACGTGTCCTCTCATCCCTCGGGCACTGGGGGCTTGGGTTGGAGGAGCCAAGAGGTGGGGCATGGTTTGAGGGACCCAGGAGCAACCCCTCTCTTCTGCGGAAGAAGGAAGGGAGAAAGTACACACCTCCCGCTCCCTCCCCAAACATGGGGAAGGTGTCTCCCAAGGGAAATCCCCCGGAAACCCACTCTTCTAAATCCACTTCTTTGAGTCGCGCTTTGCCTGGCCCAACTTCAGCAGTGCAAACAACTCCTGAGATGGGGGAGACTAGCTCGCACAGCTAGTGTCTAGCTAGCTCCTCAGATAAAGGAAAGGGTCTGCTCCTTGCATTTGGTGTCTGAAAGATAATAAGGGCTTGAAAGTGCTACAAGGAGAGAAAAGTAGTCCAAATGGGGAGAAAGAAGGCACTGAACACCTCATCTGCGTTCGGTTTTACCCAGAATGGGCAGTTGAGGGGAGTGGGGGGCAGTGCATCTCTGCACGTGCACAGAGGCCTGAGCACTGTTGGTACATGTGTGCCCAAGTGTGAGTGGGTATTTTGTCAATACAGGATGTCACCTGTGCATGTGTGCCTCGGTCCATGTGGTCTGCTGGCTTCAGCTGCCCCTGTGCAGGCTCAGCAGTCAGGTCTGCCCTGGTCTGGGAGGGCAGAGCCCCTCTACTGGGTTTCTGTGGGGGTGGGGAGGGGAGTCTGTGGGCAGCGACCTTGGGAGCGGGGGAGGGGCGGACCGGCTGGCGGCTTTGGGCAGGATTAGCCTGTCAGGATGGCACCAAGGGGAATCAGATAATTGTTCTCAGATCAATAAGTCATTTCTACAGAATGGCTTGGCAGGGTGATTTGGAGAACAGTAATGAACTCTGAGGAGGAGAAAGAAACAATATTATCAGCACTGAAGCCACCCCGAGGAGGATGGAATAGGGGAAGGCAGTCAGCAGCTCCCCAGGGAGAAGCTTAAGTGGTTCCTCTTGTTGCTCCTCTCCCCTCTTCTCCCACCGTGTGGGGACTGGGAGGCCCTGTGTGGCACCGGAGGGCTGAGCCCCACCTTCACCTCCACCCCTGCCCCTCCTGGGGGATGGGCCCAGAATTCCATCCCTAGAGCCAGTCAGGCCCATGAGCATGTCCAGGAAATGGGGGTGGGGTACTGGCTATTCTATAGGGCTCTACTTCTAGGGTCCTCAGTGGCTGTGACTGGTATGTTCCCCACAGCCCAGTTTGAAGGATCTGAGAAGAGCTGCCTGTCACCCAGCCTGGAGGAGAAGGGGCGTCTACCTCCCCGACTCTCTGCAGGGAACCCCAAGTCAGCCAAGCCCCTAAGCATGGAGCCCAGCAGCCCCCTGGGGGAGTGGACAGACCCAGCACTGCCTCTGGAAAACCAGGTGTGAGTGTCTGTGTCCAGCTGGGGACTCTCCCCTCTCCTTTCCCTTCCTAGCACTTGCCTGAGGGGACACCCCAAATGGGTGGGCCTGGTCAGCGAGGGACCCAGCAGAGATGCTCCCCTTCCTCTCTCTCATCCGCAGCTGGTACCATGGGGCCATCAGTCGAACAGATGCCGAGAACCTGCTCCGGCTGTGCAAAGAGGCCAGCTACCTGGTGCGCAACAGTGAGACCAGCAAGAATGACTTCTCCCTGTCCCTCAAGTGAGTGGGGCTGACTGGCTGGCAGTTTTAGACAGGATTAGCCTGTGAGGGTGGCACCAAGGATAATCAGTGGGAGGACAACCGCCAGGACAAGAGGAGACCCTAATATTCTCAGGCCCAGCCAAGCTGGGGAGAACCCCACCCCCCATGAACCTTTGCCGACTCTGGGCCACACTCTAAAGGTCTGAGCTCAGCCCCTGCTCTCAAGGAGCTCATAGTTTCTTGGGGGAAATAGTTAAGCTGTTGTCCAGTTCAGAAGGGTTCTGTCCCTTACTAGCTTTGTGGCCTTCGGTCCCCTTAATCTCTCTGGGCCTCAGTTTCCTTAACTTACAAAGTGAGGGAATAATATCTACTTTATAGGGAATGATTAAATGTATGGGAAGCACTTGCTGTGGTGCTAAGTGCCCAATAAATGATCACCATCATCATTCATGGAAGTCGGAAATGTTCTAATAGCACAGGCAAGGAGATAGGAACTTTGCCTGAAAGGATCTACAGGTGAGATGGAGGCTGGGTCCTGGGAGGAGGACAGGGCTGTGGACACAAAGCTATTCTTACTCTGAAGAAGCGGACAGGAGGTCTGGTTGCTGGTAGCTGACAACTGAGCGTTAAAGATCCTGGAAGAGGTTAGGGAGGTTGGCCCTCCCTTCCCATCAGCCCTCCTCCCTGGGAGCAGATACACAGGCCAGGATTGGCTTCCCAGGCTCTCCTGGTAGGATGGCAAGTCCTCTCCTTGGCACAGGAGTGCCCCCTGGTAGAGCCTGTACTCCACAGGACCGCCTGTCAGAGCGGTGTGTCCATTTACCCCGCTCCTCCCGCCACTACTGGAGCATCTATATCACCTTCTACCACATTTTCTGGGTGCAATAGAATATAGATATACCCGCACTTCAAACAAATCCAATATATGGAAATTTGGGACTACTAAAAAGATACATTTGAAGATAATTATTCAACTTCACTAAAAGATAATGAAGGGGAAAAAAGCCAGATTATAGTCATAACCTGAGTTTTATTCTTGGGTTTAATAAAATTAGCTATGTGACCCGAGGCAACCTTAACCCCTCTGGGCCTTGGTTTCTCCATTTGCAAAATGGAGAATGGTTACTTCTTAGGTTTCTTCCAGCTCTCATACTCTGGGAGTCTGCAAATTATCATAAAATCAAAGGAGCATTTGGGAAAAATTTGTCAAAAATGTGATTTACATAACTTCCGGAATGAGTATTGCTTTAAAAATTATAGTTAAGATTCATAGAGCATATACTATATGCCAAATAGCAGCGTATACACCACCTCTTAAACCAACTAGCATCCTGCAAAACCAATCTCTTTTTATAAACAAAAATAGATTCAAAGAGGTATAACTTGCTCAAGGCTACCAGCTAATAAAGTTCTAAGAGCAGAATTTTTTAAAAATATATTTTTACTGATGTGAGAGAGTGAGGGAGAGGGAGACCGAGATAGAAACATCAATGATGAGAGAGAATCATTGATTGGCTGCCTCCTGAACACCCCCCTACTGGGGATCGAGCCCGCAACCCAGGAATTGAACTGGGGACCCTTCAATCCACAGGCCAATGCTCTATCCACTGAGCCAGACTGGTTAGGGCCAAGCCACTTTATTTTTGTTCTGGGTGGGATGTGAATTTGTGGGCAGATGACAAGGGGCTAATGAGAAGCTAATGTCCCTGCAGTTGGCAAACTGCCAACCTCAGGATGGGAATGAGAGAGAATCATTGATTGGCTGCCTCCTGAACACCCCCCTACTGGGGATCGAGCCCGCAACCCAGGAATTGAACTGGGGACCCTTCAATCCACAGGCCAATGCTCTATCCACTGAGCCAGACTGGTTAGGGCCAAGAGCAGGATTTGAATCCAGCTCAGTCTGACTCTAATAACTACATAGTTCCTCCATTGCACAGCTCCACCCCTCAAGTCTGGAACAGTCTAAGGCAAGTGGAGACTGCAGGGGTCTGGCTCCCTAGCCGAGCACGCAGAACATAGCCCTGCCTTAGCCTGGGGTGTAAAGGGGGAGGCACGTCTGGACGCCTGGCTCCAGCCCTGGCTGATCTGGCCCCGCCAGCAACTGTCTGCCAGAGCCTCGTTCACATATAAATGGCTTTTCTGAAACACAATTATGGTTTCTCTTCTCTCTGTAATGGAAGGGCTTTCATTGGTAATTAAACAGCTTCCTCCACAAGTCAAGCCAGCCCTGGCTCTGCTTCCCAGCTAGTCCCTCCCCGGCCCCCGGAGGGTCTGGCACGGGTTCTGCTGTGTCCTAATGGACCCTTGGGACTTCGTCCCAGGAGGTCATTTATCTAGATGGAGGCTGAGCTCTCAGCTTCCAACTCTGGTCTCTGGCTACGTGTTGCCCTGTTTGCCCAGATCTGTCCCCCAAAGAGAAGATATAATGCACAGGTGTTAGGAGAGGTGATGTGCCCAAGTGGACTGTGGGAAGGGAGCCATCCCCAAACTGAGAGAGGATGAGGGAAGGCAGGGTCCACGCTGCTGCCCACCGCCTTGGGCCTGGGCCTAGGCATAGGACAGACAGGGGAGGGGATCACTTACTGCCTCCCCTTTCTACAGTCCCCAGGGGCTGTGCATTTTCCTGAGGCCCTTGGCTCCTTTCCCAGGGCCTGTGTGGTCACCAGCAGCCTCAGCAGTTATCTCAGACCAACAGATGAAGGATGGCCCCACGCCCTGACACACACACCCAGAACTGGCTTCCAGCAGGCTTTGGGGCCCTGTACCCGGGCGAGGGAAGGATGGAGTTAAGGGCCTGTGTTTTCCTCCCACCCCTTTACTCTCTTCAGTCACCCCACTCCCCCGCTTTCTAACTGCTGGGCCTAGTGAAATGAGTCCAGAGGCCTCTTTTAACCCAGGCAGGGGAGGCAAGCGAGGAGGTATTCTAGCTTCGCCTCTCAAGAGCAAGGGCCTCACCACGAGTCCTGCCTCCCACACCTGCTTCTGAGCCCTGTCCTTGTCCCCAGGTAGGCTCTGACCAGCAGGCTTCCCTAAGCAGTGCTGACCACTTGCCGGTGAGTGGGTTTCAGACCTGGGGCCTGGGCTGTAGTCGTTTGGACAAATGCTGTTCTTGCTGGGGCCCCACCCCCACTCAGAGGCTGAGGGTGCCCCACATCTGGGAGACTGCCAGAGCTGGGGGAATGGGGAGGATGGGGGAAGAGGGGGGAGAGGGTATGGGAGGAGCACAGGGATGCAGGGGATGGGGTCCTTGACTTGTGGTCAGGGCCAGGCAATACTGCTGACTTCCTTTCCTAGACTGTGCCAGGAGATGGGAGAGGCAGGGGAGCATGTCCTCTCTGAGGAGGGCATGGAGCTGCAGCCTCACCCATGACGTCAGCCCAGGCTGAAGGGCTGGATGGATGGGCTGGGCGCTTGGCTCAAGGCCAGTTAGCAGGAGGGTGAAGGGATGTCCCTAGGACAAGGTGGCTGGCTCTCCCCAGATTTGGGGAGCAGCTCACCTCCTCCCCTAGTATCTGCAAGAGAGAGCCCGAACCAAGATTCTCTTGGTTGTCACATCCACCCACCACTACTGCCCTGCCAGGGTGTCTGTGTCTCCACGGGAGTGACCAAGAGCCTCACTGGTGTCCTCCCCACAGCTCAGAAAGGGGGATGGGTAAACTGGTCCTGGCCACATAGGCTGGAAGGCAGGAGTGCCTGGATACCAGGGTTTGGGGTGGGGGCGAGGGTGTTGGTCCCTCCAGTTTCCACCCGTACACACCCTGTACACTCACTACAAGCACATTCTTGGCACACCCTGTGCCCTCACCACAGAGCCAATACCTACTGCTACCTACTCACAAAATCCCCTCCGCCCCCTCCCTGCTTTCTGGACTGACCTCCATCTTCCGCAGCCACCTCCACTCTCTGCTGGTTTGGAACAAGACATTGGCTGCAGGGCTGGGGGAGGGAGGGGACTGGAAGGGGCCCCCACTCACCAGGGTCTCCTCTCCTCTTCCCAGGAGCAGTCAGGGCTTCATGCATATGAAGCTGTCTCGGACCAAGGAACACAAGTATGTGCTGGGCCAGAACAGCCCGCCCTTCAGCAGCGTCCCGGAGATCGTGCACCACTACGCCAGCCGCAAGCTGCCCATTAAGGGGGCCGAGCACATGTCCCTGCTCTACCCCGTGGCCATCCGGACTCTGTAGGTGTGAGGCTTGGGCACTGCGACAGATCTGGACCCAGTCCTGTGCCCGTCCCCCGGCTGCGGGCTGTGGTCCTTCCCAGGGCCGTGATCTCCCAAGCCTTTCTTCCCCTCTCCCTGGGATGGAGTGGAAACTGGAGATTCCTTAATTTATTCGAAAGAGTAAGGGCGATGGGGCCTTGGAGGAAGCGGAGGTCTGGAGCTGAGGAGACAAGAACCCCTGGGGAGGAAGGGCCGCCCCTGGAGGAAGGGTCTTCCAAACCCAGAGTCTCCCGAAGAGTTTAAGATCAGCAGCTGCAGGCCCTTTCCGCCCCTGGGGCAGAGGTGGCAACCTACTTCCCCTCCGCCTCTCCCCCCGGGTCAGTACGAGGCGGAGCAGGATGCAGGCCCGCAGGGCACCCTGACCTCTCCCCCTCCGCCCCCAAACGATCGGCACACCCCTGGGGTGGAGGTGGCATTGGGACGGGAGAGGCGGGAAAGGGATCGGGACGGAGGGGACGGAGGGAATTCGTGCGGTCCTCCGGCCGTTCCGGCTCCCGGCCAGAGGCAATAAATAAACCCAGTGCTGCCAGGCACTGCCGCGTCTGCGCCTTCCGCGCCGCACCCCGGGCTGACGGGTGGGGAGCGGCGAAGCGAGCACAGATCCGTTTATAAATCAGCTCTGGAGCGGTTGTGAAAAGCGCTTTGGAAGCATCAAGTTCCTTCCTTTGATATCAAAACATCCCCCACTGCCCCCGCCCCGGCTGGGGGAGGAGGGGCGGGGACCCGAGCCGGCGGCCTCGTGGCGCCCCCTCCCCGCCGCGCCGACGA